GGCCCCCTCACCCCTAACCGCCCCCCCGTCCTCGTCTGCCCCTCCGCGCCCGGCCCCCCCTTACCCTGCCATGACCAGCCTGCTGCACAGACTGCCACTCTTGCCCCACTGTCCCCCTTCCAGATGGCAACCGGGGGGGGCCTCTTCCCCGCAGGAGCCGCACCCCAGCTGGGCCACAGGCACTGGCCATGCCCCCGTCCTCGGCCCCAGGGGACCCTGAACTCGGGGTCACTGGCAACCCTTGTAGACTGCCCGCGTCTTCTCCACAACCAGCTCAGCCAGGACGAGCCGCCTGCCCCCGTGTGCGACATCTAGACACCCCGGCTGGGGACCAGACAGACAGATGGACAGCCAGCCCTAGCAGTGCATGAACCCACAACTGCTTTAATGACGACGACGCATTTCACAAGAAACAAGGCTTGCTCTGCACCAGGCGCCCCTCCGTCCCCTGCCCGTGCAGTTAGCCCCACGCAGACCCCCACCTCGCTGTCCCAACTCCCAGGCGTGGGTCCGACAGGCTGGGGGGCACAGTCCCACAGGCACAGCCAGCTCCTGGGCTCCGGCAACTGCACAAGGCGAGCACGTGGCCGAGTCAGGAGTGTTTTCTTAAAAAAACACTCAAACAAAAATAACTTGACCAATCAAAATACACACATCTATGTACACTGTCCCTCGTCTGTCCCCGCGGCAGGCAGATGCGGGGCCTGGGGCTGGGGAGGCGGGCTCCCACCGCTCCCCCTGGCTCAGGCAGGTTCAGCTGATCAGGAGCGGTAAGCGCTGCCCCCCCCCCCCAAATGGGTAGTGGGTGAGCCACTGCTCCTTTCCCACCAGCCTGAAACTTTTCTGGGACCAATCTACAAGAACACAAACAAACCCAAAGAAAGTCACAAGTACGTATATACACGTGCACACACAAGGCCACTGGGACCTGGAGGGGCTCTGCTGGACGCCCCCCCAGCCCAGGCCTGCCCCACCCTGTCCACTCCATCAGCACCCCGGGATCCAGGAGGGGAGCAGGAGGGGGAGGACTCCTACTCAGGCCCCTGGCCACATGCAGGCCCTCCCTCCCTCCCTCCCTCCCTTTTCGTCTCCTGGTCTGGACACGAAGCAGGAGGGGATGGGCTCACGTGCAGCTGGGGACAGAGCAGAGTGGGTTGGGGGAAGCTCAGGAAGTTTCTGGAGGGACCTACGGGTGCCTCCTCCCCTGGCTGCCCCACGGCAATGTCACGGATGGACAGGACCCAATGGGGCGGCCTGGGGTAGGGGAAGGGGCTGGGGAGGAGGGGCCAGATGCCCACAGGACCCAGCCCTTAGGGTCGATTCTGCCCTTGGGTCACCCTGACCAGCTGCCCAGCAGGCCACAAGCACCCGAGTCCTGCTTGGGGATAAAACAGGGCCGTGACCCCCGTTAGTAACAAGGACAGCGCAGGGTCAGGGTAAGCACAACACAGCGAGTGGGCCTGTCTCATTTTCCTGAGACAACAAGTCCATCTCAAGATGACCTCCTTCGGCCTGGACACTGCCCGGGGCCCGCTCCTGACGTGGCGCCGTGCCCCCGAGAAAGTCAGTGGCATGGCTGCCAGGGAAAGGGCGGCAGGACTGGCCGCAGAGAAACCTGTCAGGTGGCGGCTCTGTCCCTCTGATCCATGGGCTGACCCCAGCCGTCTGCCCAGCCCCATCTGACCGGCCTGGCGTCCAGCTGTCTGTCCCGTAGGCGTGAGTGGTGATGCGGTGGTGGCAGTGAGCACGTGCTTCTGGGAAGAGCATGCAGCCCCGACGATGCAGCGGCGGACGCAGACAGAAGCAGGCTGGGTCCCAGGAGGCGTCCATCGTGCTCCGAGCAGAGCAGCCAGACAGATGGTCCCTGCTGGGGCCCCATCTCCTGCTGGGGCCCGGCCATGTCCCCGCCCCAAACACCGGCTGCCAGGGTTCGCAATCAGGCTTTAATGAGAATCTTCAGGGTCTCTCCAGGCCCAACTCCCCACCCGCCCCGGCTGTCTCCTCTAGGGACCATGTGCTGGGGAGGGGAGGGTCCATGCACGCCGATGAGAGGTGGGACTCTTCTGACCCGGACGGTGAGGCCCGAGGCTTTACCGGATCCTGGTGAAGAGGTTGAGGACTGACACGGACTCCTGCAGGGCACACAGGAGGGACTGCTGAGCCTGCAGCCCCTGGGCGACCTCCCGGTAACCGCGGGCCGCTCGGTCAGGCCGTCAGGGCGCCGGGGAAGGAACTTCTGCCTGGAGGGCATGCGAGGCTTCGGGCCAGGGGAGCCTGTGGGCACCTTCCCCAGCACCCCGAGGGGTGGAGGGGAGCCAGGCTCTGAGTGCCTTGTGCCACGTGGCTGGAGCTGTGCGGCGACGCGGGAGCAGAGAGAGAGAGGGGACGTGGGCGTCCCAGAGGAGACTCCCGGGGAGACTAGAGCCAACAGGATAAATGGGCTGGTTGGGTGACTGGGGGAGGGGAGCCCCCAGGATAGGCTGAGGGGACGCGCGTGGGGGAACATCTGGCTCTGATACCGACCCACTTTACCTTTGTCGAACGGGTTTTGCTAAAGACATTCCAGAACCTCAGCGTTTCGTCCCCAGCACCAGTGACTATGGCCTCTCCATCAGGGGACATGGCCTGCGGAAGGGAGGAGACAGACCCCCTCCTTGGCCTTATGCCCTGCAGGCAGCCCTACTCTGACAGAGCTGCTGGAATGCAGCCAGGGGCAGGGGACAGGCCCCACCGAGGCCACATAACAGAGCCGCGGTTAGAGCACCCTGGTAAAAACACAAGGCCGCCCCCCACCCACTGCAAGAACAGATAGTCTGTTCTGCAAAATCGAACAAATGATAAGTACGTTTTAAGCACAAAACGTTTCACGGTCTGGTGAAACGTTCAGAGATCAGCCGAGTGCTCAGGCCTGGGTTATCTACGGAGGTTTCTTCCTGTGCATGTTCAAAAACACACAGAAGAGTAGGGGAAGGGCAGGGATTTGGGAGAGCAGACTCCGGGTAGTGGGACAACCTGACCGTGCAGACAGGAGCCCATCCTGCTGTCCAGGCCTGGAGGCTGCCCGGGCAGGGGGACACGGAGGCAGGGGCTGCACACAGGGGCAAAGGACAGTGGTGTTCTTCTAGACGCCGGGCGGGGCGGACTCACCAGGTACAAGACCCTGTAGGAGTGCCCGGTCAGCTTTGCCACCTGGGTCAGGGACGGGTACTTCCAGACCAAGATCTGGTTCTGCGAATAGCCGTGCGTGCTCACCTGGGGGGTGGAGAGGGCGCTGTCAGAACTCAGGGCCCCCTTCTGTGGCCCTGGGGCTCGGACGCGAGTGGTCCGACGCACCCACCCAGGAGCCATCTTGGGCCCGCTGGGCAAGGCGCGGAGGCCACAGGTGACCGCCCCCGCTCCCTGCGAACCTGTCTGGTGCTCCCACCACCTCCTGCCTGCAACAGCCGGGCTTGTCTGCCCCCAGCTCCTCACCGAGGGACCCTGAAGGCTTTCTAGCAACGAAGCGGTAAGGCACGCACACCGGCCCCGCAGGCCCTGCCCAGCCCCGCACTCACCAGTTCGTTGGCGTGCTTGGACCAGGCAAGGTTGCACACCTGGGAGCCCGTGTCGATGCACTGCAGCGGCTGCCCTGTGAGCGTGTTCCAGAAGCGGATGCAGCGGTCCGCCGTGCCGCCACCGGACGCCAGCAGCCCGTGCTGGTGTGGGGACCAGGCAATGGCCTTCACGGCCGCCAGATGCTCTGTGTACTGCTGCACCGGGCTCAGGCTTGAGTGGTTCCAGACCAGCAGCTGCGGGGGCAGCGACCGTGAGGCTCCCCGAGCTCCTCACAGTGCCCCCCACCCCGGACAACACCCGCATTGCCCTTGCCCTGGGGCGGAAGGGACGGCCCGAGGCCGGGATGGCGGGGGCCCCGGGGCGCCTACCTTGTTGTCGTTGCCCCCCGAGGCGAGAAGCTGGTGGTCTGTGGACCACTTGAGCCCACACACCTCCTGCCGGTGGCCCTGCAGCCGCCGCTCGGACTGCAGGGGCGGGGTCCGGATGTCCCTCTGCAGGATCATGCGGTCCCGGCTCCCAGATGAGAGCTGGTCAGCATTCCAGGCCAGCGCCCCTGGAGGCCGGGCAGAGAGCAAGGGAGGCTGAGTCCCGGCCACCCCCCCCTTAGAGAGCACACCTGCCCCCGGGGCCCGGGTGGCTCCTCACCGACGCGTGCCGTGTGGCCTTCCAGCATGGACAGCTTCTTCCCCGCAGCCGCATCCCAGATCTGCACAAAGCCCTTGTGCGTGCCCACAGCCACCAGGTTGCCCTGGAACCGATCACACAGGGGAGGGAGTGGGCATCAGGCCCAGGCGCAGGGCCCTCTCCCTGACTGGCCACCCTGGCTCTCCTCTCCCTCCTCGCTGCAGGGCCCCGGGGCCACTTCTCTGTGAGTTCCTTTGGGCCAAGAGGATACCCCATCTTGGAACCCTCTGGGAAGAAGGGTCACACAAACATTCCAGCTGACACACTGAACATCTGTGTGCTTCCCCACGTTGGGCGGGGGGCAGTCCGCAGGGGACCAAGTTCTGGCCCAGGGTGTCTGGGGAGGAGCCCCATCACCGTAACCCAGGCTGGGGACAGGCAGGGGTGCCGAGGCCACTCCTGCAGCTTAGACGAGTGACCTCCAGGCTGGGGTCTGAAGCCCCCTCAGCACTGGGCAGGGCCCCCACCAGTGAGACCAGGTCAGATGTCCCCCGTGCCAGCCCTGCCCAGCTGGGGGGTACTGACCCGTTCAGACCAGCCCACAGACGTCACCGAGTCCCCTTCCACTGAGAGGTCACAGAGCCGGGTCACCTGGGAAGACGGGAAGCGGGCAGTGTGAGCCACGTGCTGCCCGGCGGGCCTCCGAGGCCCTCCCCATCTGTTCATCCCTCCATCCGCCCCACAACCAGAAGTTCACGCGCTCGGGAACACCTCAGGCCCGTGCGCACTGGTGTCAATGCTGAGACCTGGGGCAATGTGCCAGCGGCTGCACGTGGGGGTGGGGGTGTACACAACAGCATGGGGACGACAGACTGCACAGAGCCTGGGGGGGGTGACCAGGGCACCATCCTGCAGGAGGAGGCCACAGGCTGCCATGTGCTGAGGGGTGGCCCCTTCTCTGAGGCGGCTTCAGTCCCCTTTGGAACCCACTTGCATTTGGTTTTATTCCCGAAAACAACCAGCCCACCTCAAACAGCAGTGGGTTCCTGCCCTGCAGGCCCCGAACCCCAGCAGCTACTCCAAGAGATTCACTGCTAAGGCAGGTGTGAGGACCACCACCAAGGACACGGCCCTCACGGCGGTCCCCAGGCTACTCTTCTGCTAACACAGAGGAATGGGGGAGGTTGCGGCCCCCCGCAGGGAGAGGTAGGCCCTGGGGGCACGCGGCTGGTGCTGCCCTGGACCCTGGGGACCGGCTCAGTCCTGCCCGCTCCCCCCAACCCCCCAGCGCACACTCGCTCCGTGGCGTCACCTGGCTGGTGCAGGCGCTCCACAGGTACACGCAGGTCCCCAGCCCCACGCTAAGCACGTTGAGGGATGACCAGTCCACTAGGTTCAGGTAGAAGTCGTCCTGCAGCTCTGGTGCGTCCAGGACCTTGAAGGGGATCTTGGAGATCTTGCGGGTAGGTTTCCGCGGCGACCGCAGTAGCTTCTGACTGCAGGGAGGGAGAGCCCACCTCGTGAGCTCCTCTCCCCCTCTGCAGCCCTAGGAGCCCTAGACCCCCCCCGTCGGGGTCTCCTGCTCATCCTGCCCCACCTTGTCACCCACGTGATTCCCAAAGCCATGTATGGGTGACTCAGGGGCCACCAACCTCCCTGAGCTCGGACAGCCACACAATGCCCTCTGCCCGGCACCTCCTCTAGGGAGCCATCCCTGACTCCCCTGTCTGGGCCCAAGGCCCCTGAGCCTGCAGTGTGTCCCCAGGGAGGCCCCCCGAGCCACCCCCGCACCCCGGGAGCACCGTCCTCGGACCAATCTTGGCTCCCAAGCACCCCCTGGCTGCCCGCCCTGCCCTGCCCCAGCCCCCACCGGCTCAGACTCACCTTTTGTTGCTGACTGGGGACAAGGAGTAGGGAGACACGTCATTGCCGTCGTCAGGGCTGGAGCGCTTGGCGCTGAGGGAATACTGGAGGCGGGGGGGGGGGGGCGCCCGCTGAGCGGAGCCTCAGCCCGAGCTCAGGGACCTCCCGCCCGGAGCCCTGGTGCCCCCGCGCTGCCGGAGGCCGGGCAGGAATGCAGGGTGCGCACCGAACCCGGCATGAGCTCTGGTGAGGATTCAGAGAAGCAAACCAGGCCTCGGGCCTGGGGCGTCGTCTGGACGGTGACTCACCCGTGTCGGCCCCCCCGCTGCCCCCCTCAGCCATCTCTCAGGAGACCCAAACCAGGCTCCTTCCCACACTGCACGGGGGCTGCCCCAAGGCTCAGGACCGTGTACTTGGCCCCTGGCCCAGCGCTGCCGTCGTGGCAGCAGGAGAGCAAAGCCTTGGTCCGAGGCGTGGGGTTAAGCGGCTCCCAGGGTGAGCGCGGGAGAGCAAGTGGGGAGCCGAGCTGGGAGGCTCACCGTGAACAGGCCCTTCTTCTCAGGTGTGGAAGGCTGCAGCCTGCGGTCCTCTGTCTGCGGGTCCTGCACCTTCTCGATGCCGGCTCCCAGCAGCTCGTTCTTCAGCAAGGCGGAGTAGGCCAGGCCGTCTGCAGGCAGGGGGCTCCATGAGGCCAGGGAGGGGCGGGGGGGGGGGCCGGGGCGCGGCGGGGGGCGGGGGCTGGCTCCTGACCTTTGCCGTTGTCTGAGGTGGCGTCCTTGGCCTTCCGGTTCTGGCTGGGAGACTTCTCATTCTCCTGTGGGAAGGGGGGCAAAGGAGGCAGGGCCCGCTGGAGCCAGCTCCTGGCCCCCCAGCCCCGGCCCGGCCCCGCCGCCCTCTGGGCGGCCCCTCACATTGATCCTGTGGAAATTCACGCTCCAGTTGGCCCCGGCCCTGGAGGGGATGAAGCGGTCTCCATGCTTGCTGGGGGAGGACACGGGAGAGTTGGCGGGCGTCAGGGTTCGCCGCATCTCTGCCACCTGCAAGGACAGAGGGGCTGGGCTGGTGCCGCGGGGCCCTCAGTGTGCAGGGCCGAGGCCAGTGTCGCCTCTCAGACCCTGAGGCCAGGCCTGGCCTGCCTCCCTGCACTCGGTCTCTGGCCGCTGACCCAGGGGATCAGGTTTAGAAATCCGGGTGGCAGAGGTGAGACGGTGAGTGGGCCACGTGCTCGGCGTGGCCTCCCTGCTGCGGGAGGCCGGACACTGGCGAGGAACAGAAGGCACAGTACAGACCGAAGACCCTGGTCCCTGTGCACGGAGGGCTGCCACCCCCTCAGCCCCATCTCCGTCAGGCAAGGATAGAGTCCCGCGCAACTGCGAGTCACTCACCAGACCCGGGGAGTGGACGCGGGGGCACGGTTCCTGGTCAACCAGCCCACCCCCCGCGACTGTCCCAGAAATGCCCCTTTTTCTATAAGGGATCTGCAGTGGGTTGACTTGTGTCTTCCAAAAAGCCATGTTGGAGTTCTAACCCCCAGGCGCCTGGGATGTGACCTCATTCAGACACAGAGTCTCTGCAGGTGTCCTCCAGATAAGACGAGGCCACGCTGGAGCGAGACGGGCCCCAAATCCACGCCCTGTGTCCTTCTAAGAGTCAGAGACGCCGACACGCACAGAGAAGGGGACACGAAGACAAGGCAGACACAGGGTGGTGGCTCTGAAACCAAGGGCTGCCGGCCACACCAGGAGCGGGGGGAGGCAGGAGGGGCTCCCCCAAAGGGCCCCCCAGAAGGAGTGTGGCCCTGAGACACCACGGGCGGAGGCCTTGACTGCCCAGCGCAGAGCTCAGAGAGCGTGGAGCAGAGTAGCAAGCACAGCCTGTGACCAGTCAGGAGCCCGTGACACAGGCAGCATGGCTGAAGGGGGTGGCGTACAGGAAAGAGGCACCCCCAAACGCTGCTGGCTCCCAGCAGGTAAGGACCGGGCCACCTCATGCCACCATCACACCTCTGCCCGGTGAGGCCAGCCCCACAGCTCTGAACCCCAGCTCGGACACATTGGGCCCTTCACCTCCCTCTCTGGAAACTGAGAGCAGCTCACCTCCCCTGCCCCCCTCCTCAGTCCTGAGTGCGGCCCCACGGGAACAGGGGTCTGGAAGCTGACGGCCCATGTGGGCTCCCGCAGCAGGAGGCACGCAGAAAGCCTGAGGAGGGGACTCCCTGGCGTGTAGCTGTGCCTCTCACCTGCCCTGCACCCCATCCTCTGAAGGGTGAAGCCCAGGGGCTCACTGCAGTCCCCACCCCAGCCCCCCGCATGGAGCCAGGACGGTGCCAGTGGGGGTGGGATGCCAGGTACTCACGCAGGGCATCGTGTTCTCGTTCTGAACAACGATCTGCCGGAGGAGGCGCCGCTCATAGTCCTGGTCCATGGCGACGCAGGGCAGGCCCAGCCCGCCGGCCAACGTCAGCCGGCCAAGGTCAGCCTGGGGCAGGAAGGGCAGGAGAGGTCAGCACCAGTAGGCAGCAGCCCCCTCCGCTGCCTGGTGACCACAGGGAACTCCATGGTGATGGCCAGGCCCTCCACCAAGGACCTCCCTCCCAGGAACCTGGGTGAGGGAAGCCACAGCGGGATGTGACGGGGAGGCCAGGGGGAGCCCTGGCCTTTGTCCTGGTTAGTGCAAGTCTCTCATTTATTCCTGGGCCATGAAGCTCACCCTAGGACCACCCCTCCAACCCATGCACCCCATCACGTTGCCTTCCTGCTTCAGATCCTGAGGCTACAAACCGCCCCCCAAACCACATCCAGCCCTGAGACTGGAGAAAGGGGCTGAACAAGGGCTGAAGTGGTCCCAGCATGGGTTCCTCCGAGCAGGGGAGCCCGCGCCCTGGAGCCAGAACGGGGCCACAGTCCTCACCCTGCAGCCCCGTGTGTGCAAGCGGGTGGGGTTCAACAGCACCCCCCACTGTGCTCTACCCAGCTCAGAAGGCTTCTCTAAGAGTGAGAAGAGGGGAGGCAGCAGCAGAATGTTCTACGAGGAGGAGCACGTGCAGCAAGAAAGGGCTGAGCACTGTCCAGCACGAGGGGAGCGAGCGGCCACCTCGGAGAGAATGATGCTCTTCACCGCAGGGCTGACACCAGGCCCACAGCCAGTGGTTACTTGCAGAAACCAACGGGAAACGTCTGCAGCCGTGCTTCCCCTTGGGGGTACCGCAGAGCCTCTGGAGGCTGAAGCAAGAATTCGGGGGACAGAGCCCGGCACAGGGCGTGCTCAGAGGACTGCAGCTTCCCAAGGCGCACCTGCTCTCACCCCAGACCCCCCGCGCGCTCATAGTCACCGTCCCTCTGCTACTCGGGCTGGAACCTGGGGCCGGGACAGGAAAATATCAACAAACTGAACAGCAAAAGCTGGCCAAAAATTAAAAGTTTATGAATTCTGAGGTGTAGCACCCCGGAGAAGTCAACGCTTGGCTTAAAAAAAAAAAAAAATTACAGTAAGAGACACGTAACAGAAACCGTAGCATCGTAACCATTTTCAGTGCACAGCTCAGCTCAGCCGCATGAAGCCCACTCGCATTGTTCTGCGAACACCCTCAGCATCCGGCTCCAGAACTTTCTCATCCTCCCAAACTGAGACTCTGTCCCCATGAAGCACCGACTCCCCGCCCCATTCCCGTGAGCTCCTTGCCACACACTCGCACGCACACGTGCACGCACAGCCACGTGACCCAGGAAGTCCACTTCTAGGTATATACCCTGGAGAAAGGAGGGCAGACCCGCACCGGGACTAGTGCTCTCGTGTCCTGACTGGTGTTACTCGTAACAGCCGAAAAGCCAGAGCCTCCCAAGTGTCTCCACAGATGAAGGATAAACACAGTGCAGTCCATCCACGCACGCTGAAATGTGATTCAGCCTTAAAAAGAAAAGATATTCTGACACCTGCTCCAACGTGGATGCACCTGGAAGACACCGCGCTCGGTGAGAAGCCAGACGCAGGACACACCCCGTGCGATCCTACTTTGTAGGGGCTCCCCAGGGGGTCCCGGGCACAGAGACAGAGAGGAGACCAGAGAGAACGTTTGCCCTTTCAAACAAAGACACTTGAGGACGCCTGGGTGGCTCAGTTAAGCGTCTGCCTTCAGCTCAGGTCACGATCCTGGGGTCACCAGATCGAGCCCCGCAGCGGGCTCCTTGCTCAGCGAGGAGTCTGCTTCTCCCTCTCCTTCCACCCTCTCCCTCTGCTTGTGCTCTCTCTCAAATAAGTAAACTCTTCAAACAAAGACTCCCAAGGAAAGTACTGGCTTTGTGTCACCTGGGAGGGAGCAGACCTGGGGGAACGCCACTCACACCTCTCCAGCTGTGGGCACACGAGGAGATATTCAGGCCAACCTGCCTAAGTCCTACTTTCAACACCCCCAAATGGCCTGATGGGTTCCCGGGCCTGCGGTGGAGAGACCAGGTACAGCACGTGGCTGAAGGACCAGCGTGAGCCTGCTGATTTTTTTTTTTTTTAAGATTTTTTTTTTTTTTTCATGAGGGGGGGGGGGGGGGGGGCAGAGGGAGAAGCAGGCTTCCCGCAGAGCAGGGAGCCCGATGTGGGACTCGATCCCAGGACCCTGGGATCATGACCTGAGCCGAAGGCAGACGCTTAACCATCTGAGCCACCCAGGCGCCCGAGCCTGCCGAGTTCCTGACCCTCACCTGCGACGAGGGGACATGGAGGGCTGGCCTGGTGTGGTCCAGCCCAAAGCCGGACACTCGGCCAAAGCCAAGCCAGGTGCATTAGGCTCACAAGAACATGAGCACGGCCTCTAGACACCACTGTGTCCCACACCACGTGCCACATTAGTGGGCGCTACCAGTGCGTGGCCTCACATGCACATAAACACATGACGGCTGAGCCAGGGGCAGCAACACCTCAGGGTCACGTGGGGGCACGGACAGGGGCTCTTGCCCACAGGCCTGAGATCCGTGCCCACCTGCCCCCAGGGGCCTCCCTCCACTGGGCCTGGGGTTCTTCTGAGCTCCCCCAGCCCCGTTGTCCCCACGGGGCCGCACAGCGGGCCTCCTGCTTTGTGAGTGAAGTGGGGTTGAGGCCCTCCATCTGGGGCAAACCTGTGGGAGCAGCAACCCCCTTCTTGGCCATCCCCCCCCACCTTGCATGTACCCTGTGTGCCCTGGCAGAGGTCCCCAGACCGGTTCAGCCCATTTGTCACAGAGTGGAGTCCAGAAGTAGGGGGTGGCTGTGACCCTCAAGCCTCCCTCACTTCTCTGGGGGTGAGGCTCCTTCCCCAGCCTCTCCTTCCTGTCCAGTTCCAAGTCCACCTACTGGCCTGCCCCAGGACAAACCCCAATGTGTATCCTCACCACAGGGACCACTCCTGGGGCAGCACGGTCATGAGTTTCTGTCCAGGCTGGAAATGCCCATTCAGAAGACACGGTGTTTCCCAAGGGTGAGCCTGGGCCCCATGCAAACCGGGGCTGAGCTCCAGGAGACCAGCGTCCACTTTGAGGACCGAGAATCCCCAGTGGGATTTTTGGCAGGGAAAAAGAAGGGACACATGGCTTCGTTCTGGTCAGTTCTACCATCAGTGGGTACTCTGCCAGAGTTGGGCCAGTCAGCTGCCCCCTCCACCTTGCAGACAAGGAAATAAGGGCCAGAGAACCACTAACATCCCTCTGCCAACCGTGTGTGGAGTCAACCCTGGCCGGAGCCTTGTCCGCCACCCACCAGGGACTGAACCCTGAGGGGAGTCAGGTGAAGGCCATGCTCAGTCCATATGCTCAGCGGATGCCCCTCCCCTGCTCTCCCCCAGTAGGGCTGCTCAGGGCTGGTGGGGCTCGGGAACAAGGGGTTTCAGCACCGGGAATGGTCATACTGTGGGCTACAGGGGCCTAAACCTCTCAACCCAGGTGAGCTCGCTTCCAGTGGAAAACAGAGCCCCCCCATTCACAGAGCAAGGCCACCATGCTTGTGTCCCCAGGTGACTCCTTGTGAGGCCGGCAGGGCTGATCTGTCACATGGACTACAAGGCCCAGGAGAAACGAAAAGCGTCCACAAGACAAGACAAGCCACAAACGGTTTTATTTAAAAAGACGACACAAGCAGGAAAAATACCTGCCAGCCTTGGGAGATACCGAAGCGGTGAAGGGTGTGTGCATGGCGTTCCTGAGAGCAACGCGCACCGTGGCCGGCAGCCGGAAGGTGGCAGGTCCCCAGCCCCGAGCTTCCAGGCAGCTGACACAGCCGGGCCGCCCATGCCAATGCAGAAGGCAGGCACGTGCGCTCCTTGGCAGGAGCTGAGACCCGACTTCCAAGGAAGGCAATTTGGCAGTTGCTTTCCAAATTTAAAACGCACATCCTTTCTGATGCGGTATCTCTACTTCCAAGAATCTGCCCGTAATAGTTGTGTGCGATACCATGTGGGCAAGGACGCGGTCTGCAGGCTGCGTGTGGGAACAGGAGGCGAGGGCTGACGCGGTGGCGTGAGGCTCCTGTCCCCACCAGGGCACAGGGCAGTGGAGGGCGGGGGTCAGCGAGCCCCACGCACGTGAGCGCAGCTCCGGGCCAACAAGCTACTTCCGGAGGGCGGGGGAAGAACCCAGGAGCACAGGTCAGCTCAGGGGAGAGGAACTGAGGGTGCGGGACAGGACAGCAAGGAGCCTTGCTTCCCTGGGCGCGTCCGTTTGCACTTCTGGGGCTCTGAGGCCCCGGCCCAGGGCTGGAGCACAGCGGGCAGGGCACCCAACATTCGGTCGCCTTCACCGCACACTTGAGAACTTCCTAATAAAATATCTGAGAGCCTGTGCTGACTTCTGTTAGCGAGCAGTCTGGGGCACGGACCGTCCACAGGCCGAGCCCGAGACAGAGCCGGGAAGGCAGCAGCGAGCGCCCCGAGCTCACCCAGCTGACCAGGGAGGCTGGTGTCCAAGTCAGGTGAACGGGGGCCAGAGCCCTTGGCCACTCGCTGCCACTGTCCCCTCCACTGGGTACTGTCCCTGGGGGACTTGCCCACCCACCCAGCCAACCCTTAAGAAGGGGGTCTCCTCTTCCCCCCAACGTGGCCCCCAGGATGGAGAGCCAAGAGACCCACCTCAGCCCACTGTCTCAGACAAGCTTCCAACCTCCAAGCCCGCTCTTCTGGGAGACAGGCAGCACCCCCGTCACCTCACAGGACAACAGTGAGGTTCCCTCACAGCGAAAGCTAGGGTCTGCACAGGTCAGGGGTCGCCCAAGCACCCAGGGCTGCCCTCCCGTGCACTGGCCGTGCTTCGCTCCTCACTCACCCTGGGCCCAGAGCTCTCTGAGAGCAAGCCGATCCCCACCAGCAGTCAGGGAGCGGGGCCCAGCCTTCTCTGCAGCTCCCCACTAGCCCCTGACCTCACCCAACCAGCCCTGGGTGTGCTGCTCACATGGTTTCCACCCACCGAGCACTCAGCAGAGACGGCCCACTCTAGGCAGGACCCAGTGGTTCTCGCTGGGGG